TCATCCCTCAGGTCCCATCCCTCGGGCCCCCTTTCAAACTGAGGCCTGACACGTAAGCATAAGCCTCTGGGTCTCAGCCCGCCTCCAGGCGGCCACATGCAGCATGTGGCTGGCGGGACCTCTGACCCCGTGATCCGGCCGCCTGTGTCAGGCTCTGGGGCTGCCTGCCAAGCCAAGTCCCTTCCTGGGACGTGGCAGGACCAAGGCTGCTCTGAGAGTCTTCCCAGCAGAGGCCGCGGGGGCCCGGGAGGCCGGTGGCCTGGGAGGGCTGACATACCACGTCATTCTGTGTGGGAAGAGATCCCACCAGAGCCGCGGGGACACCCCCAGCACAGTGCTGGCCTGCCAGGCAGAGACTGCCTCTTTTTCAGATGATTTTGCAAACGAGAAAATGAAACAAAAACTGCTTATTATAAAGAAATACCACTGGCTCCCTTTGGGGCTTTTTGTGTCTGTTTCAGTGTCCCCTGCTGGACACTGGCTTCCTGGGTCAGGATGGGGCCTCCCAGAGCTCTGCGTGGCCAGCGCAGCCCACACGAGCGAGGCCCTCTGCGGATGTGTGCTGCGGTGCTTCCCGAAGGCTGGACCCCTGAAGGTGACCTTTGCGACAAGATCCGCGCCTCCTTCCGGCGAGGTCTTGGCGGCCAAGGCGAAGCCTCTGCTGCCATCTGGTGGTGAGTCTTGGAATCGCAGGTGGTCATCTGGGAACTGGACACCCCTGGGAGAATCTAGCTCACCACCCTCGTGAACCGGTAAGGACGGGAATCTGACACTCAGAGGGCTTGATAAATCTGCCCGTGTTCACGCAGCGAGCCGCCTGCAGAACAACCAGACTGGCTTCCTCAGTGCCTCCTGACTTACTGGTTAGGGGTGAGGCTGTATAATACCCATCAGGTAGGGGTTCCGAGTCCCTCCTTTGAGGTCAGGCAGAGGGGGTGGGTCCTGGCCAGGCCCTCACCGATGGGGAACGCCGGGCAAGGGACTCAGCCTCCAAGCCTGGGTTTCTTCCCTAACAGTGGAGCCTGTTACAGGCGGCTGGGCTGCTTGAGGGCTGCCAGCTGCCAGGGCGGTTGGCACAGTGCCTGGCACACAGTAGGTGCTCAGTGAATGCTCTTGCTGCTGCCGCTGCCGCTGAGGAGGACCCAGAGATCTACAATGCGACCTGAGCCCTGGGATGGGAGAGGCGACCTCCAGCGAGACTGCTCTCCCCGCACGCGCCCCACCCACGGAGGCGACCGCTCTGGCATGTCCCGGATTAGCCTGGTCATAGGTGTCTCTTGGAGAATTATGGGACACACAGACTCCTGGACTCCTACCCCACACGGTCCGATTTGCTGGGTCTGGGACAGGGCCCAGGAATCTGTATTCGTGCAGCACTCTGGGTGGGTCCCAAAGGCTGACAGGTTTGGGGGATGCTGACCCATCCCACCTTCATGGTTCTGGTAGAGGGGACAGACACGTGTCCTAGAGCGGGCAGGGCCAGGCTCTGGTAGCCCAGGACTGTCTGGGCAGTGCCCCCCCCCCAAGAGACATGTGACCAGAGGTAGACCCTTGGCACCTAACCTGGGTGAGGAAGGGCCGGCAGGCAGAGGCACAGCAGCAGGCGGTGGGGGCCTGGCACCTGCACAGGTGATGAGCTCCAGGCCCTGCATCAGTAGACGGACACGAGCTTGGGAGGAGCTTGAAGGGAGGGGGAGCAGACGGTCCTCTGGGTTCAGAAGTTCCTCCTGCAACAGCCCGAGGGACTGATACCGGTGGGAGCACCACGGCCAGGGATCTGGTGGCCGTCAGATCCCAGCGCGCGGCCGGGCAGCCGCAGCCCAAGCTGTGCTCCCTGCTTTGCATCAGTGCGGCCTCCGGTCCGGCAAGCGTCAGGCAGACTCGCCTCAGCTCTGCAGAAGACAGTGGTCAGCTGGGTGCCTGCGCAGAGTCCGTGTAACTTGGCTGACAGCAACCATGGTGGGTGGGCCGTGCGGGGAGACTGTTCCAGAACAGACCCTAAGACGAGGAGGCTAGGATGCCAGCTGACATGGCAGCACCAGACGGGCGAAGGCTGGGCCTCCTGGGCCCAGGAGGGGCCAACCCTGGCCCTCTGTCAATGGCCTCAGGAGCTGGTTGTGCCCCAGAGTCCCGGGCATCTCCAAAGGTGCAGAGCAGCTGTGGGCCAGCCCTTGGGCCCCTTAGCTTGAGGAACACCCAGGCAGGGAGGAGAGCAGAGAAGGGGCGTGTACCGCCCGGGGGCCCTGCGAGGACCGGGACGAGGCTTTGCCTCAGGAGTCCAGGCAAGGTGGGGTCTCCCAGTGTGCTGCCATCAGGGAAAGTCCTCTCAGCTCCCTGCCTGGGCTGGGCCCCAGGGCTCCCTGCAAATCCCCAAGGAGCTCCGTCCCGGATTCCCTGAGCCTGCTGCGTGACCTCACACCCCTCCCCAGAGGGCCAAAGTCTGCGTATTCAGGTCTGTATTAGTCAGCTCGAGCTGCCGCGAGGAATGCCATAGACAGGGAGGCTTAAACAACACAAGTTCATTTTCTCACGGTCCTGGAGGCTGGAAATCTGAGATCAAGGTGCCACAGGCGTGGTTCCTCTGAGGTCTCCCTCCTGGGCATGGAGACGGCTGTCCCCTCCCTGTGACCCCCTTGGTCATCCCTCTGTGTGTGTCTGGGTCCTAACCTCCCTTCCTTGTACGGCCACCAGCCCTATGGGGTTAGGAGCCACGCTCATGACCTCATTTTAACTTATTCACCCCTTTGGAGACCCTCATCTTCAAAATAGTCACATTCCAGGGCTTCCCTGGTGGTGCAGTGGCTGAGTCTGCCTGCGAATGCAGGGGACGCGGGTTCGTGCCCCGGTCCTAGAAGATCCCACATGCCGCGGAGCGGCTGGGCCCGTGAGCCATGGCCGCTGAGCCTGCGCGTCCGGAGCCTGTGCTCCGCAACGGGAGAGGCCACAACAGTGGGAGGCCCGCATACCGCAAAAAAAAAAAAAAAAAGTCACACTCTGAAATGCTGGGGGTGAGGACTTACATATGGATTTGGGGATCACAGCTCAGGCCGTTACCAGGCCTGGGTAAGAACCACAGTGAACTCAAGACCAGCGACATCTAATGACAGGTCAGTTCTGGCTGCGGCCAGACCAACAGGACCCCTCAGCCCCCCAGACCCGGTGCAGTGATAGGCCAGGCTGTACAGAACGGAAGGTGCCCTCTGGGGGTACCCGGGAGGAACAGGGACCTCAGAGACTCTGATTTTCCAAAATACCTGCCCAGCCCCCTAGTGCAGTGGCCGTTTACGCTGCCTACCCAGGGTATGCCCTTCTCCACGGGTGTGGATGAAAAGGCAGGGCGGCGGCAGGGGGGCTTCCTGTTGGAAGGAGCCTGGAGGGGGGCGGGTGGAAAGGAGTCTGGAGAAGCTCCCACGGGGTGAGGCCCCTTCCCTAGATGGGGCCAAACCCAGAGTGACCCCAAGCTACAAGGGCGCAAGTGTGCATGTGTGTGTGTGCGTGTGTGTGTGTGTGTGCGCGCGTGTGTGTGTGTGTGCGCGCGTGCGTGTGTGTGTGTGCGTGTACGCGTGTTCTCACATTGTGTGTAAAGCAGTGCTCACTTTTGGAAATTCTCCCACGTGCCCTCCCTGCTTGCTATCCAGTTTCTCCCGGGAGGAGAAGCCTGGGCACCACCACAAGGAACATCCCGCTGGGCCCCATCAGGGCGCCCAGGGCCCCTGGCCCCCGCTGCCCGGGAGAGGGCCCTCCACATGGCCTCGCAACACCAGCAGTGCCCGTCCAGCCGGGGCATCCGCTCGCTTCCCACTCCTGGAGGCCACATCCGGCCGCCCACTGCCCTCTGCATGGTCACCGCGCAGCTGTCAGCCCCTGGCTGATCGCCCACCCCCTGCTGGCTCCCCCAGGAGGCTGCTTGTCTCCTCCCATAGCGGGGGAGTCTGGGCACACAGCACGAAGGCCGCCCCTCTGTGTGGGGGACACTCAGACCTGGTCGCCAGAAACCCCCGAGGGCCCCGTGCCTGTTCCAGGAAGGGGGAGCCAGAGTGAGGGGGGCCCCCAGGGTGTGGTACCTAATAGGGATGGACACTTCTGATTTCCAGGGAGCAAAACCCCAAGGGAGCTGGGACAGAAGTCCCCAGGGGGAGGCCAGTGGTCAGGAAATCCCCACCTGGCACCCCAGTTCCCACACAGGTTAGAGAAGGGAGCCCAGATCCTCTCCCTCCCAAGTCCCCCGCCCCCTCCCCTCCTCCCTCCATCCCTCGGGGCTCTTGGAGGAGCCCCCTCCTTCCTGCACTGGGTCTGGGAGCCAGGAGGCTACCCGGTCACTTAGAGGCAGCCGGGGTTGAACAGGGACAGGCGGACAAGTCTCCCCCGCCCCTTCGTCCCTCGCATCCCCATTACGGGTCCCCTCGCACCTTCTCCATTGCTCTCCAACCGCCCCCCACCCCCGCCACGAAAATAGTACGGCCAGCACACAGCAAGTTGCTTGTGTCACCTGCTCTTTATTGACTGCCACGGGCTGCCTTTTCATGGGTGACCAGATGCCCCAAGAGCGGCACTACATAGAGAAGGGTTGGAGGGGAGGGGGTCTGAGAGGTGCAGCCTGCAGAGAGCCCGGGCGCACGGGAGCCCCACCAGACGGATCTCACGGCACCTGGCTCGGCCTGCCACCGAGGGCTGAGACGCACCTGGCTGGCCCTGGAGACCAGAGGCCACCCAGAGATTGCTCAGCAAGGGGTGTTCTCTGACCTCCCGGCCAGCCTGGACGGCCCGCAAGCCCGGGAGGATGGGGATGCCGTCTGAGAAGCTGGGATGGCGGTCACTTCCACCGACTGGCTGGTGTTGGAATCCGGGTCACTCTGAGGTCTCAGCACCTCAGGCCAAGGCCCCGAGCTCTCCAGGCTACTCTCTCAAACCCTCATGCCCTCGGAGAAAAGGAAAAGGAAATGGAAAAGGCGGAGGCAGGGGAGACAGACGCCCCACTTTCTAGGGTTCCCCCGGAGGGATGGGTGGCGGGGGCCGCAGCAGGTGGCAGCCGAGGCCGAGGCCGAGCTTAGGAGGACGGCGCGGAGCTGGGCTTCTCCTCCCGCGACACGGGGATGGCCCGCTCGCTGTGGCCGGCATCCATGCCAGACGTGACCTTGGGGCCAGAGAAGGTCAGCATGCCGTCCGCAGACAGCGAGCAGGAGAGCGCGGACTGGTCCACGTTGGAAGGCAGGCGGTAGCGGCGGTGGAACTCACGGGAGATGTAGCCGTGGTCATCCTGGGGGGCCGGGGGAGGGCGCGGTCAGAGACGCCGCCACAGCGGGTGGCGGCTGCCTCTCACAGAAGAGGGCATCCTGGACCGCACGAGGGTCAGACCCACGATACCCTCACAGGGCGTGGGCTGGACCGTGTCCAGGGCTCTGGGACCGCGCTGCATCCCTACATACAGTCTGGGCTTGCCTGGGGCCCCTGGCTCTTCACGATAATGTCACCCCAACGTCGTGTGAGTGGTCCTGCCCCTGGCCCGGCCCTTGGGTCCAGCTATCCCTGCACCTCTGGCCTCACAGACTGCTTGGGCTCAGGTCCCTGCCATCCATCTAGCTGGGTCAGAAAGCCATGCCTCGACGTTCCCTTCTCCTGACGCCCTGGACCCAGCTTAGCCCCTGGCCCGACTCCCTCCCCTCCAGGTGGAAAGACCCAGAGCCTCGGCGTAGTGTCCGGGCACCTCCAGAGGCCCAGGAGGGGAGAGCAGCAGATGCAGTGGGGTCTCTCCCCCACCTCCAGCTTCCCCACTACTGGACAAAGCCCTGATCTCCGAGCTGTCCTGGCTGGGCCCCTGCCCCCTCGAGATAACGGGCTCCGGGCACTCAGGCTCCGATTCGAGTCAGCTGTACCGTCCTCCCGAGAGAAGCTGGTGTGAAAACCTACGTGGCTTGGAGCTCGCTCCCTTGGTGCTGGTGTCTCCTGGGGTCTTTCCTAATCCCACCCCATCACCCAGGGGATTTGGACAGAGCCCGGGATGCTGAGTAGCTCCTGAGTGGGGTTCCCCACAGGCCCCCGCCGGCCGTTCACCCGCTGCCCGGGCCTGCTGCGGGCCCGGGGCGGCCTCCTGTCACCAGGACGGGGCCTCGCTCGGGGGTGCAGCCCCTCCCTGCGGGCCCAGGCTCACCTGCCGCTCGTTGTGCTTGCCGTGGATTTCCACGAAGTCCTCCTGCACCTTCACCGTCAGGTCCTCGGGAGAGAAGTGCTTCACGTCCAGGAAGATGACAAACTTGTCCCGGTCAGATCGCACCTGAAACCAAGTGTCCGTGTGGGTCTCCACGGGGCTGCAGCTCAGGGAGGGGGGTGGCCGGGGCTCAGTCGCCAGTCATCAGAACAGAACCTGCTGTCAAGGCTCTAAGCTCTCCGTCCACGTGCCCGGGGGGCAGAGGGACCTGGGACTCAGGCCTCTGTGGCCACTGGGCTGACAGCCGGAGCCCCGGGGCTCTGAGGCCGCCTGGTGGGTGAGGGGCTGCCTGGGTGATGGGTGTGGGCCATGCGGCCTGTTACACATTGGTTGGTTGGCTGCTTACGTGTTGTTTGGCTGGTCGGTGGGACTGAGCACTTGGAATAAGGTCGCGGCCCTGGGGCTCTGCCCGCCTCTCCATGAACAGCCTGGGGCTTTGTCTCTGCACACGGACGTGCATGTGACATGCCGGCAGCCTACGCAGGTTGCCCAGCTCCTCGCACAGAAACTGCTTTCGGCCGCCTCCCCTCCCACTCCCCTCGCTGGGGACGCTCCTTTGGGCTCCGTCGGCCCCAGAATGGTCGGCGTTTCACCAGCTCCGAGCAGGCCTCTGTGTTTTAGGCAGTGGTGACCCCTGGCACCTCCAGAGCACTGGACCCTGGGAGGGAAGGCCGGTGGGCTGCCTTGCCTGCCCTCGGGGCCTGGCCTTGGGCGCCCGGGCGAACTCGGGAAGAGCCCACACACTGCAGCTCCATGGCCGCAGAGGGCTTCAGACAGGAGGCCTCCTGCCAGACCTCGCTGCTGGAGGGAAAGTGCAGCCCCAGGCCACACAGAGCTCCGTCCACCAGCGCCCATGCCCTGGGCTGTTCCAGGGGCTCCCTGCACATGGAGGGACGGCACCAACCACATACGGGCCATGCGCTGATGACAGGAGGAGCAGGCAGCAGGCGGGCTCTTCCTCCCAGCACCCCGGGGGCACGCGAGGCTCCGCTGCGGGTTGGTCTGCCTGGCCTCTGTGCGTCCAGGATGGACGAGGTGGACTGAGGTGGGAAAGTGGCCCCACGGCGGTCACCAGCCGCTCCACGAAGCAGGGCGGGAGCACGCAGCGCAGGGGTGCCGCGTCTGCCCCAGGGCCGGCCCTCACAAACCCCCGCTTCTCGCCCGGCCACGGCCCGGCCCCCGTGCAGCCGCAGGAGGAAGCAGCGCACAGCGGGTCTTACCTCGGAGATGCCGGAGTCCAGCACGCTGCGAAAGAGGGACTGGCGGTAGTAGGGGCTGATGGTGGAGGACAGGAAGGGCAGCAGGTCGTACTCGAAGAGCCCCTCGCCGAAGAACTGGTCGAAGAGCCGGCTAGGGTAGAAGGGGCCCAGGGCACGTTTGAACCAGGGGTGCTGGATGGCGATGTCCATGGTGGGCGCGGACTCTGCAGGGACCCGGGGCCGGCGGGGAGTCAGGGCAGGGGCCTCTGGGCAGCGCACTGAGGACCCGGGGCGCACGCCCTCCTTATATACGGCGGGACAGAATGGAGGCATCAGGGGGATTTGTCTGGAAGGCGTGAGCTCAGGAGGGAGGCCGCCCAGTCAGCAGAAACGTGGGCTGGGCTGAGCGTGCACGTCTCCCAGCCCCGGGCTGCAGCGCTGACCAGCCCAGAGCTCTGGGCGCCAGGGGAACAGCGTCCCCAGGGAGCTTCTCTGTGCGTGGCTCTGTGCCCCCCAACACACAGCCGGTGCTGCAGCAAAGGCTCGCATCTCCCCTTTCCTGGGCGGGGGTGCTGTGTGCCAGGTAGCATGCCTGTGTCTGCATATGTGGTGCCCTGTGACCTCACGGCCACCTTACGAGAGGGAGCTCGTACCCCTGGTTCACAGACGAAGACAGTGAGGCACAGAGGCTAGACAAGTGGTCCCCAAATCCCACCGCTACGAGGCAAGGCTGCATTGTGTTTCAAAACAGAATTACCTCTATTACTTCTTCCTGATTACAAACATTATACATACTTGTAAAAACTCTCAACAAAGACAGAAAATGAAGAGAAGAAACTAGAAAGCGCCCATAATTCCAGCACCGGGGGGCCCTGCTGTGGCGTCTGTGTGCATCCTGGGGGGAGGCAGCTTTGGTTTTACAAACATGGAAACCCTGCATCCCGGGGTCTCCTCTGGACACCATCCCTGAGAAGCTCGAGGCCTGGAAACAGACAGAGCCAGGGTCCTTAGAGCAGGTGCCCTGTCCCTGTTACTGGCCTGGTAACTGGTTTGCTCCCATCTCTGTGGCCCATCCAGCTATGGCCCAGGATGCGTTCCGGGGGGCCCGGCCACAGCTGGGGCACTCCTGGCTTTAAGGCTTTCATACTTTTCAGTGGCTTGGCCTCCGGGAGCCTTACACTAACTCACCAGCCCCTCCACACCCGCAGTACAGAAGTGTGCCGGACCCACGCCCTACCCGAGCCAGCTTTTCCATGCACAGTCCAGACGGTGAGATGCTTCTAATTCACCCTGCGTCTCCCCAGGTCCTCGTGCAGCTTCTGACCAGCGTCCACCTCCTGTTTGTGGGGTCAGTGCATCTTCAAAGCACTCAGGATCTTTGCAAATTTACCTCCAAGCCCTGGGCTTAGTGGGTCAGGAAAGAGTACTCACCCTGTACCTAAGTAGGATTTTGTCTCACACACCTAAGAAGCAACTGGTGTCAAAAGTGGGAATTTCGGCGCCTCCCTCACACAGCCCCTCCCTAACTAGCGGTGCACAGTATCAAAGCCCACCTCCCTGCCTTTCTGAGCACCTGTGATGTGCATCCAGCCAATGGTAAAGGGCCCAGAAAAAAACTGGAAATGCCAACCTTTGCCCTGCAAGTCTACAATTTCGGCAGGTAATTCCCTAGGGTGTCAGGCAACAAGAGCCAAACTAGGGGGCAGATAATCAATACTCTGAGGGGTGGAGGGCACTCTCCCGGCCCCAGGCCTGCCTGAGCCCACACTGATGGTGACCTCATGGTTCCTTGCAGCCACCCTAAATGGCATGTAGGTGCCAAATCTCCCCCACTTCATAGAGAGGGAAAGTGGGGTACAGAAAGGTTAAACAGGTCACTTAGCATGGAGGAAGGGGAGGGGGCTTTGGCGCACGCTGCCCACCCAGGCTGGGAGTCAACCGAGGAAGGGCAGGGCTGTGGGCGACCCCACACAGCGTGGGCTGCCTGCTCCTGGGCGTGGGATGGGGGAGGAAGGGGCACAGGCATCCAGCTGGCTGCTGAGGAGAGGGTCCAGCTGGGCCAGGCACATGGTCAGTGCGGGCCAGGGCCACGCTGAAGCTGAAGACAGAAAGCAGAGTCAGCAGTAAGGGTCCTGTCTTTATGTACAATTTGATCTTTTGTTCGTCATGGACTTTTTGCACTCATTTTGATTTGTTTAAACATCACATTAAGATGTGATGTATCCTGATGACTGCGTTTGGTCCCTCTGACACTTGGTACGTTGTCACCCTGCACCTGGCTGTCCATGTGGTCCTTCAGACACCCTGGGTCTGCAGGCAGGGGCGGGGTACAACCTCGGCCCACGGGACGCATGGCCCAGGGTAGCTGAGGGTCCGCCAAGGTCCTTCAGACACGTAGGGATGCCCAGGCACTCACCCATGCCCCCGACCCGTGGGCTGCAGCCAGCGGGAGCCCAGAGCTGGCCTTCAGAGTGAGCCAGCACCAAGGTGGCAAACCCAACCATGCAGGCCCCGGACAGGGGGCCCAGGATGGCCGCAGAGCCCTTGGGGACCTTTCCAACACAAGATGACGGTGCTGTATCAGCTTCCTGCAGCTGCTGTAACAAAAGACCACAAACTCGGTGGCTGAAAACAGCACAAATGTATTACCTTGTAGTTTGGAGGCCAGAAGTCCCAATGGGTCTCACTGGGCTCAAATTAAGGTGTTGGCAGGGCTGGTCCCTCCTACAGGCTCCAGGGGAGACTCCATTTCTTGCTTTTTCCAGCTTCCAGAGGCTGCCCATCCCTTGACCCATGTTCCTTTCCTCTGTCTTCCAAGGCAGCCGTCACATCACATCCCTCTGGCTGCCCCCCTCTGCCTCCCTCCAGTAAGGACCCTGTGATTACTGAGCCCACCCGGGGAATCCAGGATCACTCCCCCAGCCTTACAGTGTGCTCTTTAAGGAACCTTATTTCCCCCCTTGCCATGTAAGGTGACACATTCACTGGTTCTGGAATCAGGGTGGGGAGGCCATTAACCACTGGCTGCAGGGAGGGAAGCACTGTGATGACAGGCGCCCTCCCTCGGGGCAGTTGGAGGGAGCCTCCGCTCGGGAAATGCCCACCAGTAAGGGCCAATACGAACTCACATCGCTCAGAGCCACCACCTCGTTCAGGTCAACTTACATCTCCGTCAGGTGTCTGAGCCCTTCCAACTTCCTCTCCGGTTTGCTGACCTCGCCTATCGGCCAAACCTGTGGCTCACACGCGCCATGGCAGGCGGTCCAGAGCTCTGCAAAGTGGCCACAGGGATGAGAGGTGATGCGGGATGGAGTGATGGGCGACCGGCTGTTTCCAGCTCACCTGTGTGAACTCACCCTGCCTCACACCTGACCCCACACAGCCCAGACCCTCCCACCCTGGATTCTTGGGAAACAAGACCCTTTTCCTCCAGGCCTGGGTTCCTCCTTGAATTCACGGCCATGTGCTAAGGGGTGCGCTGTCTGCATCTGCAGACATTTAAAACAATAACAACCACCCAAAAGTCCGTTCTAATCATGCAGGTGTAAAATACGCCTCCTCTTCTGTTAGTCTGAGGTCTGAGCAATCTATACATAATAATACAGTCCATTTTCCTTATTGGAGGGAGTGATGTCCTAAAAAGTTGCCGTGAACAGTGAACTGGTAACTACTGAGCCATTTCTCCCAGGGAAACACAGGGTCAGGTCCTACCAGCCTCTGGTGATAACATTTTCATCAGTCACTACGTGGGCAACAGAATCTTCATCGATCGCTACGTGGGCAACATCTTCACCGATCAATACGTGAGCTTCTTTGGTGTGTGTTTCTGTACAAACACAGCTAATTTCACACGCGTGGTTGATTCATTGACACTGAACACACGCCAGCAGCCCCATAACTCACTGCTGTAGCGAAGCTCACCTGACACATGTTTTCTCCGGGGAGGCACATCCCAGCCCTCCTGCACTTGGGACACTAGACAGACTTTCCCACTGTGCTTGGGACCATGTAAACAGTGAAGCCACAAAAAGCAGAAAAATTGGGAAACGGGATACTAAACAGACCCTGGAAAGGACGCTGGTTGCAGCACGAGCTGAAACAAGCAGGCGGAGCCGCCCTGTCACCCTCGGCTGGGGACGTGCATGTCCGGCCACTCAGATATTTCACTTCTGCCGCTCTGCTCAGTGAATGACTGTGAAAACGGCCGTGAGCATGGATTTGAGGTCAGATGTCACAGAGCAGATATTATCGACTGAATTGTGTCCCCCCCAAATTCTTATGTTGAGGTCCCAACCCCCAGTACTCAGAATGTGAACTTACTAGCAGAGGGGTCTTTTAAAGAGGTGATCAAGCTAAAATCAGGCTGCTAGGGTGGGTCCTAGTCGAATCTGATGGTGTCCTTATGAAAAGAGGACATGAGGACACAGACACACACAGGGGAAGACCTTATACAGGAGGGGGGTGGTGTCCTTATAAGGGGGGAAGAGACACCAAGGGTCCCCAAACACATGAAACACCGTGTGAGGACACAGGAGAAGACGGCGTCTACACGCCAACGGGGAGAGGCCTCAGGGGTTCCAGCCCTGCCCACACCCGGATCATGGCTTCCAGAGTCCAGACTGAGAAATAATTTCTGTTGTTTAAGCCACTCATGCGTGGTTCTGTGGTGTGGCGGCCTGGGCACCTAACACGGGAGACATCCTCAAACGCGGGATCCGCAAATACAAGGAGAGCCTGCATGTGTGTAATGTTCACATAAGCAGAGTTTTCTTTCTTCTTCTCTAAACACGCGCTAAGTGGAGCTCCCCCGGAGAACTCACGCGACACGGCCAGCCCGAGGCTGGCCCGCCCTGCTCCGTGCCGTTGCTCTGGAGCCCGTTTCCAAGGTCAGAACTCATCAGGCTCCCGGGGCGCTTCTCACCTCCAGCCTCTGACTTCTGTGCTTAAACACGGGGCTTCAGGTTGGCAGATGACAGCCCACGTGAAGACTCAGCCCCGGAGTTATCCCAGCTCTGTCACGCTGTGTGACTTCTCGGCACTTTTATTGCGTGTTTAAAATATGAAACTGTGGGCTTCCCTGGTGGCGCAGTGGTTGAGAGTCCACCTGCCGATGCAGGGGACGCGGGTTCGTGCCCCGGTCCGGGAAGATCCCACATGTCGCGGAGCGGCTGGGCCCGTGAGCCATGGCTGCTGAGCCTGCGCGTCCGGAGCCTGTGCTCCGCAACGAGAGAGGCCACAGCAGTGAGAGGCCCATGTACCACAAAAAAAAAAAAATATATATATATATATATATATATATAA